TGTGTGGTGGGGTCAGATCTGGCACAGTTCCTGCACTGTGTCTCCAGTGTTGTACACTATGGGTCAGTGAGGGATGTTTTGTCTTGTGGTGCCGGCCCTATGGTCATCTCTGTGGATTGGCTGCTCTGAGTAGGAATATTGTCCTCAGGGCTTGGTGGGCCAGGATGTGCTCCACTCTCTCTCCCTCCCCCTGTTTGCTCCTGCATGCTCTGATCAGACATGTCCCTCTCCCAGAGCTGTAGCTTCAGTGCTGTCCTCTGAAGTGAATTCTGGGGGGAGAGGGGATGTCCATGTAGTGGGGATTGGGGTCAGCCCCTCAGATCTCTCTATTGGTTCCCAGCTTCATACCAATATGTTATCTTCATCTCTTGGAGCACCAAGTCTGATCCCTTTTTCCCTGTGGAGATATAAACAATACCCTCCCCTTGGGTGGGTTAGTGCCCTGTTCCCCCTGGCAACATTTCTTAAGCGTGAACGGGCACTACTAAAGAAAGAAACATATTCTATCAATCAACCCCTCTCCTTGCTGCCCATGGGGCTCACATTCTCTTGCACTAAGCACAAATTGTGTTTTCCTGAGTAACCAGTTGTAAATATTTGTGAGTGATGATATGCAGGGGCCGCCCCAATAGAATTCCCTCTGTTTTGGAGAACAAATAATGCCCTTCTCTTTAAGGTATTATGTTACCATTGCTTCTGATAGCAACAGCAGCAGCAGCAGCTATAATCTTGGGAATAAATAATCACTTCCTAGTCTTTCCAGGATCTTTTTCCTGTAGTTTGGTTAACCATCGAGTCAGCCTAAGTGACATACTTCTCAGCAACTCATGTACAAAAAGAAAATGATACGCGATAAATTTCAAAGCAAAACATCCTGTAGGTTAGATGGAAACACAGGGAAGAACTTTGGAGATTTCCACAATTCTGAATGGTATGTCGTATGCTTATCTAGCACATTCTTTATCATTAAACACCCTTGGACATCCTTCTGGCTGATATGGCTGCTCTCCACCATAGGGCCTGGCCTTGCTCTGGAGATGTTAGCAGGCTAACTCCATTGAAGTCCTCACCACATCGCTGCACTTCATCATGCTGGTGTTTTGCCCACTGGTCTTTAGCATTGGCTTTAACTACCTTGCCTCTGAAAAACACATCCTATCTCTTCTAGTACAATCTCCTATTATTATAAAAGGCCTGGGGGCACTGGTGGGTAAGCTTTGGACTGCGAATCATAAGGTCAATGGTTCAATCTCAACAGCCACCCAGGAGGAGAAAGATGAGGCTGCCCGCTCCAGTAAATGTGTATAGGCTCAGAAACCCTGTATAGGATTACAATGGGTTGGAATCAGTACAATGGCAGTGAGTTTTTATTGTAATGATGTTCTCATATTCTCCCCACACTAGATCTTACCTATCTTGGTACGTTAACCTACCTCACTCAGCACAACTTTGGGCCATCTCATCTCTCTGAGGTGTTCCTTGAGATAGTCCTTTTAAACCACCTTAACCTCCCTTCTCCTCTGTCCTTCTAAGTATGTTCCCTGAAAATTCTGCCCTTTGTGGTTCAGTCCGCCTTCTCCACCTCTCAACCTACTGCTGTCCCTACAGAATGACGCTGGTGAGTGCTTGCTGGGCAGTCAGAGCGACTAACCTGGGCGGTCCATCGTTTGTCATGGTGATTGTTTCTTCTCCCCATCCTCTTCATTGAGACCTGGAGAACGCATTACTCCTGTACCTTCTGCCCAATCTCTAAGACTATCATTAGCAGGTGACCTCAAAGCAAGCACAGTTTCAAAAATCCATCCCCTGTCCGATCCTCGCATCCCCAAACAAACAAACAAAAAAACAAATCAATGAGCCGACTCTCACTCATAGTGACCCCACAGGGCTGGCTCGAACGGCCCCTGTGGGTGGGTTTCCCAATGAGAGGAGACATCCTCATCTCTCTTCCTTCGAAAGGAGCTCCAATGTCATCACGGTACCATCAGAGCTCCATCGCCCCCTGCGCCCCATCCTCTGCCTCGTTCTAACACATTCAAAGGGAGACTTCTTCTAGATCTAGATTTAAACTTGCTGTGTTAATTATCCTCCCTCCTGTATCTTTAACTACTTTTCTAATGTTCCCCGCCCCCTCTGGATTCTATAAAGGTTACCTTTCCCTACCCTCAAAATAAATGAACATCCTATCCAGGAATGGGCCTCCCACCCTTCCATTTATAACTTAGGTATCCTTGGAGGCCCGGTAGCTCAATGGTGAAGTTTGATGCTAACCCGAAGTGTGGCAGTTCAATCCTACTCTGCGTTTCTATGGGGGAAAAGGGTTGGAGATCTGTTCTCATAAAGATTACAGCTGATAAAACTAGCTGGGGCAGTTCAGCTTTGAGTAGACAATTGGCTCAGCAGCGACCAACAACAATTTGTGACCCATACCTTGTACTTCTCTTTTGTTCTTTGAATTTTTTTCCTCATATTAAAAAATACTAAATGTTCATGATAAAATTATATCTCCTGATACATTTTTCAAAAATCTCATGGAAAGGTGAAATTAAAAGAGAATGGAATTTCTTCAATGAACCTTTTGAAGTCTCCTAATATGTGCAAAAGCAGTTTGAAACCGCCAGCCACTCTGCAGAAGAAAATGTTTCAGGTTACGATATATTTTCCTCTGATAAAAACGATGCTTCTAAGAACAGATCTGTTTTATTTTGGTGTTTTCCTATTTGAAGGGCAAGGTTGCCGCGTATCTCCGAGCCATTGAGACTCACTTCAAACGGAGAATGAAATCAGCATTTAATTTCACACTTTTTCAACGAATCATCTATTTGAGAAAACCCATTCATTCTTTACCAGCCTGAGTTCCACCTCTACCAAACCCTTGCTCTGGGAAGGCATCATCCTTTCCTAAGTGACACATCTGGTGATGCCAACAGTCTTCAGCCTGTTTTCTCTGCAGCATTGCACATTGCTAGTTGCTACCTTCGTTTGAAACATTTTCTATCGAGGCTGCTGCAGAAACCCACTTTCCTGAATAGCCCCCTCCCATCGGATGTTTCCTGGCATGGTCCACTAGAGTCAACACTTGCCATTTTACGTGTGTCTCTGAACAACCAGACCGGCTTAATAAGCACTGATGGGGAACAGAGCAAACACACTGAACCTCAGACAGAGGCTGGAGGATCAGCCTGGTGCTATTCAGACCTTGAGAAATGAAGCTGAAGAGGCAGGCAAGAACCAGAGCCAAGAGAATTGCACATGTCATTCTAAGGCGTCTGGACTTCATCCTTCCGTTTGCCAAACACATTTCTCTAAGTCCTTAGGACATGCTGCACGTTATTGTTTCACCTTTTGTGATGTGTCCCACATCTGCCATGTAGGAATTTTCATCTTCATTCCACAGAGAGGAGCCTGTTGCTTTTACCCCTATGACTACAAAGAGAAACTGTATAAAAGTAGGCATGCTTCTCAGCAGGCCTCTCTCGTCAGCTGGTCTAAATGTAAACCTGAGTGGCTTTGATGGAACAAATGAATGCTAATGGAATATTATGTGTCTCTTATTAGGAACGCTCAAAATATTTGTTTAATCTTCAGATAAACCCAACCCAGGGCCCGAGATAAAAATCACAAGTTCTGGAATACTTGAAAAACTACTCAGGATTGAAAATAACCCTGTGCCAGCTCAATGTCCTTGTAGCATGCTCTGGAAAAGTTGTGTCCATCACCCTGTTCTTCCGAGGGAAATGGTCTTACAAGTTCAGAAACATGGTGCTCAGACTTCCCAAAAGCTGCTCCTCGGCCCTATTTGGTTTTTTCCTCAGGGTTTCACAATGCTCCCTTTTTTTATTTACCACCTCAAGATCCCTCTCCCCACACCTGGTGCTCCTCATTGTAACTGACCCCAGTATATGGTGAGAGTTCCCTGGGGGGCAAGTAGTGATGCTTTGGGCTGTTAATCAAAGGTGTGGAAGTTCAAGTCCACCCAGAGGAACCACCAAAGGAAGGCCTAGAAATCTAGGTTCCCCAAATCAGCCGTTGGAAACCCCCTGGAGCCCACGTCTATTCTGACACACATGGGATTGCCATGAGTTGCCAATAGCGACAATAAACAATCAAGATTCCCTGGATGCAAATGACAAATACACTCCATTGCTAACAGAAAGATGGGGGACTCATGTCTACCCAGAGGTGCTCAGAAGAAAGGCCTGCTAATCTACTCCCAAAACATGAGTCACTGCAAACCCAGTTGTGCACAGGTCTACTCTGACACACTTGTGGAGTCTTCATGGATTAGAACTGACCAGATAACTGTTTATTTTTCTTTTTGTTTGATATATATGAGATATTACTGGCTTGATTCCAGACCACCACACTGAAGTGCATCACCTGGCTTTTGGGGTTCTCAGTGCATATATGAGTTATTTTTAACATCGCACTGCGCTCTATCATGTGCACTATAGTTTGCAATAGTCTGTCCATGAGCAAAATGTGGCACAGCGACACACAGTGAGCACACACTGTTGGAAAGATGCCACCAATAGACTAGCTCGACTCCGGGTTGCCACGAGCCACCAATATGCTTAAAACAAAAAGCAAACAAAGAAAGGTAGTGCCTGCAAAGCACAGTAAGACAAAACTTGATAAAACGAGGCACACCTGTAATGAGAAGGCAGTAACTTGAGAAAAATGATTCCTGCCTGAAACAGTGCCTCCACATAGTCTATCCTTTCCTCTCCGGGGAAATTACTTCTGCTTAAAGTCTTAGCCTTACAAAATGAGCTTACCAGGAACACGTTCTCCAGGCAGCTGGAATTCTCCTATCATTGGAGAGCGGAGGTGCATCCATCTTGCCACTCATGTGCTGCTGATAAATCAGAGCTTACCTGGATTCTCAGGCAAATCACATTCACTTCGGAGCATAGCTATTGCCTAGTGTTCAAGGGCCACGGAAAGATTACATCGGACAGTGTCACTGTGTGTGATGTCTCCTTTCTCTCTGTTTGCAGCCTGCAGCCTCCCCAGAGGACACCCCAGAGCTTAGCGCCTTTTTGCAGAACTCAACTATTCCTCGCCTCCTCAGGAAGAGGGATGCACCTGTGGTGGAGCTCCACAGACAAAGCCCTGCAAAAATACTGGTGAGTTGTCCCCCCGTGTGCCATCCCTGAGTGGCACAGAGGGTTAGACGCTCCTCTGCTTACCACAGAGTTTTTGGTCCAACCCCACTGAGAGACACCTCAGAAGAACACTCTGGCCATCTGCTTGCAGAGGGTCCCAGCTCTGAAAATCTTACAAGCACAGCTCCACTCTGACACAGCTGGAGGCACCATGGACCCGATGGCAACTTTACTGCATCCTAAGGTGCAGAGGGGATGAGCAGTGATGTTGGTGTGGACAGAAGTCCCAAGCAAAGGTGGCTCTGATATCTGTATTGTTTTCCAGTCTCCTCCAGTGCACAGCTCTGCCAGACATGTTTATAAGCAGCATAGGCTGTGAGGCAGGAACTAAGGAGTATGCACAATGGAACTTTTGCACTCCTCTAAACATCCACGGGAAGAAACCCTGGTAGCACAGTGTTACCAGTTAGACTGCTAACCCTAGGGTTGGGAGTTCAAAGCCACCAGTTCCTCTGTAGGACAAGGATAAGGTTTTTGGAGCCTGTAAAGAGTTACAGTCTCATAGACCCACAGGGGCAGTTCTATCCTGTCCTATAGGGTCGTAATGATGTCCTATAGGATCAAGATGTCCTGTAGGTTTGAACTCCTTGGCAGTGAGGAACCTCCACGGAAGCCACATTGGAAAAGTACTGATAAAAATGTAAACTGTAGCCTTGAATCCATTTCAAGACCACCAGGGCTCCATTAGCAGCTCATCCCCAGACACGAAGCTTGGGAGAGTTTACAGTGAGTTTACAGAAGCACTCCTTGTTCAGCAGGTCAGCTGTCGATGAGCCCCAGAGTCCTTTGCTCCTCCAGAAGAGGTGAAAGGAAACGTTTAAGGACCCTCGGAGACTTAGTAAAGCCACTTAGAGTATTCTAGCCTGGATTTACTCATCCTTTGCCAAAACTGTGGACATCATTTATGAATGTTTTCAATTCAAGTCTCTTAACCCTATTTCTGGATCTCCTCCCATGAACAGTCGTTGCTTAGCCATGGGATGAGGGCACAGAGTCCAAGTCAGCGTTCAGCCGACCTCATTGTGTGACGGGAACTCTGTTGAAATCCTAACCCCTGCTCCTGTAAACATGACCCTGTTTGGAACTGGGTACCAGGGAGAAGGGTGATGCTTCAGTAAGTACTAAAAAGGTGGGGAGAGCTTTGGAATTGGGAAACAGAGAGGCTAGAGGAATATTTTTTTTCACTTGATAGTAAAATCCTAGATGCCTTGCAGAAACTGTTGGTAGAATTACAGACATTAGGAGCAATTCTGATGATGGCTTGGAAAGAATCCGGAGGGGTAGGGGAGACTTCCAATGTCATTACTGAATGTTGCCAGAAATGTTGACGGTTGAAAATGCTTTTGGTGAGAAAATGGGTTCTGTTCTTTAAAGTTACCCACTCACAGGATTTCTGTTACTCTAGCTCTAGATAAATTCTGCTCCCAGAAAGATTAAACCATGAAAACCGTACCTGCAGTGTTACTGTGCCGCATGGGGTCAGTAAGAATCAGAACAGACTGGACACCCAACCACAGCCCTGGGTAATGAAGAGCCTGCGTCCTGGGTGTGAGATTATGAACACGCTCTCTCGCTACAAAGAAGTGGCCAGGGGTTATCTCCAAAACCACGTTCCCTTCGCACACAAAGGAGGTGTGCATTAGGGCTGGGAACAGAATGAGGGCGGCTGCTCCCAGTGCCTGGGGCAGTGGAGGGTGGGGGTGAGGGGTTCAGGGGAAGAACCAATGTTTCCTGCCCCGAAGCTTCAGTGGGAAAAGCAATTGGAAAAGCAAGACCTTGTGAAGCCAAAAGGACAAGTCCAGTGCTGCCAATTGAAAACAGAAAGACAGAAGGGACACCTGGAACATGAAGCCGTGGGAGGGACCGAGGAGGGAACAAAGAAGAGCAAGCGGAAGCAGACCTGGGAGAAGCCCCTGAGCAAGGAGGACTCTGTGGTTCCTCCCAGGGTGCAGCAGAGTGAGAGCCATTAACCCCCCAAGCCCACGCTTCTGGCACTGTCAAGAACAGTGCTCATCCCCCAAATCGGGAAGCCCTCCGAGGCTCAACCTAGAGCCTTCTTCCCACCTGCCCAGCACCAGCAAGCTCAGCCGGGCAGGGGCAACGCTTAGTCTGCTCGCCATTGCTTCCACGGTGTACGGCATGGTGCTGTGCTCAGACAAATGTGTCAATGGCAGAGGTACTCATTTTCAGAGACATTGTACAGCGTGACCTCTCGAAGTCACTCCTGATGACACGAATACTAAATCCTATTCTAATGATCTATCACGCAGTTTGAAAGACAAGCATCAGTAATGACTAAATTCACGAAGCGCCCCACCTGTGGACTCACTGCAGTAGCTCTGATGACAAGGTGCCAGCATGCTTTCGGAGATGTAGTCACTCCAGCCAAGTATGAAATGGAAAGAATTCTAGATGGTGTAAAGTGACACTTGAGAAATCCTACTCCTGACTTTGGCTTTGTGTGGACTGAGGCTGTGGGTGCTGTCAAATCAAATCCAGCTCATAGTGACCCCACGTGTCAGCGCAGAGCTGCTCTGGACAGTTTTCTAGGCTGTACCCTTTCTCCAAGAAGAATGTCTGGCCTCTCTCCCCTAGAACCGCTGGGTTCCAACAGCCAGCCTAGCAGTCCTGTGCTTAACCAGTGCACTGAACGGAATAATAATAATACATTGAACTCTCAAAACATAAAAAAGGAAGGCTAGAAAGAATTTGCAATAGAAAATATTTAGAATGGAGATGTAAATATTAAACAATTGTTTGCCCCATCAACTAAAGCTCCAGCAACAAATGTGTGTGGGAGAGGGTGGGGGTGGGGGGGGTGGGCACATGCATGTGCTGAGGGGAGGACAGGTAGGTTCTAATAAATGAAGACAGACACAGGCCAAGCCAGAGAACCAACTGTGTGGTGAATCAGATGTCCTAATATCCAAATAACTGCCGTGATACTATTTGCCCCAGGCCAAAGAGACATTCGTAGAGAAGTGGAGATGATTCTACTGGAAAGTAAAAATAAATAAGAAAGCTTGCCCAACCCTTCAGAACTACACTGTTAACTTCAGGCTCCATTCATGCCAGCAGTCACAGGAGCAAAATCTTAGAAAGCAGATATGCTGGTTCTACGAGAGCACTTTCTATTCTAGGAGAGTCTCTGGGTTATGCAAACTTGCTCAGCTGCCTATTTGGGGTTTCTAGTGCACTCAAAAGTGACTCAGAAGAAAAATCTGGCAAAATACTTCCAAAATATCAGCCATTGAGAACCCAGTAGAACACAGTCCTACTCGTATGTACGTGGCGCTACCATGCTTGGAAGTTTCCTCGAGGGCAACTGGTTCTGTTCCATGAGCATCACCCACTCCAGAATTCTGAACCTTTCAGAGTCCCTCAGGTGCTTCCAGATTATATTTTTTCTAATCTTCCTCCTCTGGTCTTGATCACCTGACTGCCTACACCAAAATGAAATGAGAAATCCCTAAGATGCTCCTCTATGGAATTTTCATCCAGGCCTGGTGGCACAAAATGTTGGCAGTTTGAAAACTACCCCATGGCTCCTCGGAAGAAAACCTGGCAGTCTCCTCCCATAGAGACTGTGGCTTCTAGAAAAGCCTTTGGGGAAGTCAGTGGGTCTTTCGGCTTTGTCATAGGAAGGCAGTGTTTTAAAATCCCACTCCACACCATACCTACCAACAACCAACCACCACTCCTGCTTTATAGACCATAGATGTGGTGTACAGACAGGGTCTCAAGACCCCCATAAGCTGCTTGTCCCCAGGCCCCACTTCTCCTTGAGCTCTCGGCCCAATAATTTCTGTTTAGAAAGCCCCACATCTAAGACATCAGATGATACAGAGAATGCATGTTGCTTTTGAGAAATACAAATAGGGTACTGCAGTGGGAATCCTGGGAAGGACTGAAATGACTTCTGTTCTGTTCCTTTGTTCCATTACTCACTCACTGCCATTGAGTTGACGCCCACTCATATTGACCCCATAGGACAGGGTAGAACTGCCCCTGTGGGTTTTTGAGACTGTCACTCTTTATAGGAGTAGAAAGCCCCATCTTTCTCCCATGGAGCAACTGGTGGTTTTGAACTTAAGGGTCTTTCAGATCACAGCCCAATGTGTAACCACTATTCCAATGGGCTCCTGTATAAAAAAAAAAAATCACTAAAATAAACCCCAAAATTATTAAGCTCCATTAATTCTAATAACTTATCTTAGTCTAGTACAGTAAGATAATGCAAAATCAAATTAATAATAATTCTAAAATTCCTGAGCCCCATCACATAACCTTTTATTATTATTCTTACTAGAAGCCTGTTGTCATCCAGTCTATTTCAATCAGTGACCCTATAAAACAGGGCAGAATTGCCCCCCATTGGGGTTTCCAAGACTGTTCTTTATGAGAATAGACTGTAACATCTTTCTCACACATCAGCCATTGGTGGATCTGAACCATTGGCCTTTGGGTTAGCAGCTGAGTGCTTAACCACAGGACTCCTTCCATATTAGTAAGATCGAATACAAGGATGAAATACATGCATATCCCAGCAGTGTGTCTCTTTGATAAAAAAAAAGTTTGCAGGAGAAACAATAGAAAACAATGGTTGACATTTATAGAGTACGAATATGCAGATGGGAAAAGTTCTCTGGGTAATCAGTGTCCAAACATCTAGGGACTTTTAATATGTTATGACATCAAAGTTCAAATATGCTTCTCAATTTCCTCTTCAGTGAGTACCACCTGAAGACACTGAAGTGCTAGAGATGGATATTATTATTTTTTTATCATTTTATTGGGGGCTCTTATAAGTCTTATTAAAATCCATATATCAATTGCATCAGGCATATTTGTACATATGCTGCCATCATTCTTTTCTAGACATTTACTTTCTATTGAGCCCTTGGTATCAGTTCTTCTTTTTCCCCTGCACCCTCATGACCCCTTGATAGATTATAAATTATTATTATTTTCATATCTCACACTGTTTCTGTTGTTCTTCCCCCTGGAGGGGTGTGTGTGGTTGTGTGTTGATCAATATGCTAGGTTCCCCCTTCTTCCTCTCCTTTCCCCACCTTCCCCCTACCCTTCTGGTATCACTACTCCCATTCCTGCTCCTGGGTTCCATGTGTCGTGAGCTCTTACCTCTTATCTGTACCTGTGCACACGCTCCAGTCTAGTCCAAAGTGAGAGGCGTCACTGGGGTCATGATAGAGGGGGGGTGAGGAAGCCTGAAGGAACCAGAGAAATATTGTGTTTCATTGATGCTTTACTATGCCCTGGTTGACTAATTCTTTCCCTGTGACCCCTCTGTGGGAGATAGAGATGGATATGCTTGTGTTTTCTTATTTTGTTTTGTTAATTACATGCATTGTGTTTGTCCTCCACTCAAAACTTTTCCTTCCAGTCTTTCTCATTAAATATTTTTAATGCAAGATAATTTTTAACTTCTGGATATTAATAGAAACTTATAACTTGCAGATGAGGGCCCAGGCAAGCTTGATTTGTATATCTGATTGTGTTAACTTTTTTTATTCTCTTCCTCTTATTGATTCAAAAACTGCAAATCATACAGTTCTCCATGTCCTTGAGTCAAAACAGTTCTGGATATAGAATGATTATGCAAAGTTTATCCTAAAACCAAAAGCAAAATATGATCTCCTACAGTTTTTGTTTAGGTAAAAACAACTTACTGAATTGCTTTCTGATTAGGGATTTCGAAATACATCCTGTGTTGGGATCATAATTTCCAAGTTGCACTGGAACCAGTTGTAAGGGTCTTCTCCCTTATCATCTTGTGCATCTGCTGCTTTTGCAGTTGTCACCCCATCTCTCCTTCTCCAAGATTTCCCCACATCACCATCACTGCTCAGCTCACAGCAGTCTCTCCAAACCACTCTTCAGCATTTGGTAGTACTGAAATGCTCATGCTCCTTGACTTCTCCTGGCTCTCTTCCTACCTTTTGACGGGCCCCTTTCACACTGTTCTTCAAGATTCCACTTCAATCCCTTCTCTTCTTCCCCATCAGTTGTTCTTTCCCTAGGGAATGTCTGCTGGGACCTTAACTCCAGCCATTCCTGGGTTCCTTTTGTCTTTCCACCTGCACCACTGTCCTTGCATTGACTCTGACCCCTGGCAACCCCACTTGAATCAGAGGGGAACTGTACTCCATAGGATTGTCAATGACGGATTTTCACAAGTAAATCTCTAGGTTTTTCTTCCAAGGGGCTTCTGGGTGGATTTGAACCTCCAACCTTTCAGAGAGTAGCCAAGCATGTTAACCATGTACACCACCCAAGGACTTCCCTGACATCCTACCTCTTCCCTCTTGCATTTTTCACTTGAAGGACCCACTCATCTTGATTCCTAGAGTCACCCCATCTCAACATACCTAAACTTTGTTCCTACCCTTTTCCCCCATCCCTCCACTCACCCTTCCCTGCAACAAATTATGCTGTTTCTCAGGAATTCCCAAGCTCAGTAATATCAGGCCTCACCTACCCAGTTCCCCACGCCAGAGAGCCTTCTCCATGCCTCGCACTTTCTCATCCCAATTTCCCATTAGTCACCATGCATCTATTCTACCTCCCAAATATCTCAAATCCACTTTATTCTCTCACTTCTCCCTGCCTGAGTTCAGGTCCCCATTAGTTCCCATTTGGACTTTTAAATAGTCTCATTCTCCTCCTTACACCCCGTTCTTCTCTCTTCATTCTTTCTCCTTCCATCCTCCAAAATACAAACCCGTTCACATTCCTTGTTTTCACAGTTTTACAGGTTCCCCAGTGCCTATAGAGCAAAGCCTGAATTCCTTAACATAAATAGGAAGAGTCTGCGCCACCTGGACTGTCTGTTCCCTATCTTATTTCAATCTGTTTATTAGGCACCTCCCACCGTCTGTTCCCTTCCTTCCACTTTCCCAAGAGCCATGTCCCAGTAAGCCTACTCTATCAGTCACGCTTTCTCACCCTTCAAGTTTAACTCCAAGCATCACCTTCTCCAAAACCATCCATCAGAACTAGCTAACTGGAAGCACTGTCTCCAGGAAGTTTACCAAAACTCCCTTTTGCTTCCAGAGGGTGGGATGAGTGGCTCACAGTGGGTCTATCTGGAGTCCAGGGAAACAGAAAGTTGTCATGCATGACACAAAATACAGAGCAGTGAGCATTTCTGCCCATGCTCCAGGCACAAAATCCCAACGGTCACAACTACCAACTTCAACTCTCCTAGCTTTTCAGTGGCTTCTTCCTTTCAGAAAAGTTCTCATTATATTTCACCACAATCATAATTAGGTCTTGATTAACATATATCACATGAATGATCTCTAGCAGCTTATTTGGAAGTTACAGCTGTTGCTAAGGAGCCTTAGTGGAGTAATGAGTTACATGTTGGGCTGCTAACCTCAAGTCAACAGTTTGAAAACACCACCTGTTCTGCAGGAGAAAGATAAGGTTTTCTATTTCCATAGAGAGTTACAGTCTTCAAAACGCACGGAGCCAGTTCTAATTTGTCCTATCTGGTGGCTATGAATTGGAATCAAGTCAATGGCAGTGATTTTGAGTGTTTAAGCTGTTTGTATCCATTTACATTAATAACTCTTTGTATATATGGGGGGTGAAGGTGGTATAAGGCCCATTGATGGAACCATGAGACTGTATAGACACTTATCCCATCGTTTCAGTCAAATTAATCCTAGAAATCTGTGGGCTAAATGTCACTGAAGCCAGATTAAATTTATGTAAAACCAAGCAAAGGATATGAACTTTGTTTCCATCAATGGTTAGCCGATGCCTAGTAAGCTCCATTTTAACAAAGCTTCACAATTTTTCTTTATTGAAATGAATTACTTAGTGCTTAGGAAATGACTTCGGAGGAAATAGAATGTGAATGTGTTTACCCGAGTCTTAGTACCCTACCAGAGCTTAGAGACACTGATCTGCTGCTGTTGCTCTTTACAGAACTGTACAAACATTGCGTGCTTACAAATCTCCTGTGTGGTGGGACGACTGGAAGGAGGAGAAAGTGCAGTCTTGAAAATCCGATCACGGTTATGGGCCCAAACATTCCTCCAGGTAACAAAACCAACGAATGGACATGAAGCCGTTCCCTACAGACTCAGTCGAAGGGGTGTTTTTTTTTTTTATACACACACTCTCTTAAAGAGAAGAGAGAGAGAGAGAGAGTGTGTGTGTGTGTGTGTGTGTGTGTGTGTGTGTGTGTGTGTAAGAGCTACACTAAGATCAACTGGTCAACTTTCCATCGGGTGATGATAATTAAAATATTCTGAGTTCCCAAGGCAGTAACGTACCAAACAGCTCCCCTGAGTTCACTACTCTGCACCCAGTTGTAGGACACCTGTTGTTGGATCCATGAAGCCCTTTCCCACACAGAACTGGGCCATGGGATTCCCTAGGCTGTCAGCTTTAAGGGACCAGATCTCCAGGTTGTTCTCTCATAGAGACGCGGGGTGGGTGTGAACTACCAACCTTTCTGCTAGCCGCGTGTGCTTAACCGTTGCACAACCAGATCCTGGTATAGTAGATCTTAAGTCAATAGCAGTTAATGAGAGGATTCCATCAAGCATGAGGAAAACCAGAACACAATTCAAGATCTGTGCCCAGAACAATAAAACTAGAAATCCGTTTAGAAGGGAAAGGGAATATTATCCGAGAATAACACTCTTGTAAGTTGGCCCAGCCAGGCTTCTAATCAGGACAGAGTCCCAGTTCATTTCTCCGTATGTGTGATTTGTCGCTCACTTGCTGTTTGGGTTTCGCTGTTTTTGGTCTCTGCACTGCCATGGCACCCTACTAAAGCTTAAAGACATGATCCACGGCTGCTGCTCTTTACAGAACTGTACAATTAGCGAGTGCTTCCAAAGCTCCTGTGTGGTGAGAGTTTAAACATTAAATGTCTCTTGAGAGTAAGAAAATGGAAATTTCCCTTTGAAAACAACTTTGTATTTAAATGATACTGCTTGGCTATGGCCTTATTAATTGAGATCTCTCTCTCCCTCTCTCTCTCACTTTTAAACCAAATAAAATTAAAAC